TTCTGGTTGCACTTTTGGTGTGTTAATTTCGCACCTGGAACGGGCCGTTCCGGATTCAAAATTAACGCACCAAAAGTGCAACCAGAACGGCCCGTTCTGGTTTCAGAATGGGCCGTTCTGGGTCCAGGTGTTTTTGAAAAAAATTGTCATCCACGTATGCATCTACGTGGCATCCACGTGGCCAAAAATTAACTCTGTTTAAATAATTTGGACGGAAGTGCCACATTGAAACCAATTAATTAATTTGGGACTAAATTGAAACCAATTAATTAGTTTGGGACCAAATTGAAACCAAAAATAAAAGTAGAACTAAATTGAAACAAATAATTAATATAAGAGACCAAAATAGGGTTTTAGCCTTTAATCTACAAAGTCAACAGAATAACCTATTTAATGTGAAGGCTTACCAATTTTGTCTTTAAGAAATTAAAATTTGATATTTGATTGATATATTTTGACCTTTAAAATTTCAGATTTTTTATGAGTAAAATTCAAGACTTTAATATTTAGTTAGTCTATTTGACCTTTTAAATTCGTAAGACATTAAAATTTTGATTTTTTGTCTCAATGTGCAAATATTGATATGTTGAAATTTTGAATTTTTGTTTAAAATGACTGATGTTGTTTACAAATATAATTTTTTTAAATATCATTTTTCTTTCCATATTTTAATATATTAGAAAAGTAAAATAATTAAATAGATTTTTGTTTTTTTAAAGAAAATGACTTCCAAACTTTCATTGGACTTGCTAACACATCTCTTTTATTTGTGGTTTCACAATCTCAATATGGACCAATTTTTTTTTCTATTCATTTTGTAGACCAAACTTATCAATTTCATTAAAAATGTAGGTTTTACAAGACAAACCTTAAATACATCGAATCAGTATGTATACACACCCTAATTATAAAAGTAAATAAGTAAGTTAAATAAGACAAATTAAATATTTGTTTAATAAAACAAACTCAAAATCTCAATCAAACTCATTTACTAAATTGATTGAACTTGACCAACCTATTTTTTTTTTCACAAGTCAAACTTTTATTTTAAGTGTTTGACTCATCTCAGGTCATTTAAGACTTCTTATACCGAAAAAAAAAGAGTTATATTGTAAAAATCTCATGAATTTACGAGATTCGAATTTTGTGTATGCATTAAAATCAAGTTTTCAATTTTGGGTCATTTCAATATATTAGTCAAATTTAAACAACCTATTTTTTTTAATAAGTCAAGCCAAAATTAAGTTCAACACAACTTCACTTATTTACCCTAGTTATATCAAATGTAGAGTTACCATTTGTTGTTAAGGTCATGAATTTGCTAGGTTAGGTTTTTGTGTACACAAAAACAACTCTGCTTAATTGTTTATCACCCAAACTCCACATAACCTTTTATACTGCACCAAAAAAAAAAAACAAAAGAAAGCTATCGAACAAAATAAGGTATAATTAGGGGTGGGCAAAAAAAACTGAACTGAACTGAACTAAACTGAACTGGTGGTGAACTGTACTATAAAAAACTGATCTGTTTAAAAAAAATTGAACTGAACTGAACTGTTGTAAAGTTGAACTGTACTGAACTATAAAAACTGAACTGAATTATAAAAATTGAACTATTTTTATAAAAAAATAAAAATTAAATGTGTTTAACATGTTATGTCTTAATAGATTAACTCGATAGTTTAATAACCAAAATTTTAGAAAAAAAGTGAAAAAAAAACTGAACTGAACTGTTTAAAAAAAACTGAACTGAACTGAACTGTTGTAAAGTTGAACTGTACTGAACTATAAAAACTGAACTGAATTATAAAAATTGAACTATTTTTATAAAAAAATAAAAATTAAATGTGTTTAACATGTTATGTCTTAATAGATTAACTCGATAGTTTAATAACCAAAATTTTAGAAAAAAAGTGATTTGAAAAAAAATTGTATCAATTTTGTTGAACTTAACGGATCAATTGAGCTATGTTGAACTACTTATTTTTAGGCTTAAAATTCACTGAGTTTGTTTGACTTAATTTTATATTTTTTTTCCTTTGAAAAATTTAAATAAAATGGAAAATAAAGTAAAGTTGACAAATGTGTCCTATTTTGATAGATAAATGAGTCAAAATTGTTCAATTCAAAATATCATAACAGTTTAGTGCAGTTTAAATTGCAGTTCAGTTCAAGTTTTTATAGTATAGTTCAGTTCAGTTCAATGACACAAAAGAATAGTTCAGTTCAGTTCGTCTGAACTAATATTTAGTTTAGTTCAGTTCATATGAACTACTTTTAAGTTCAGTATAGTTTTTATAAGTTCAGTTCAGTTCAGTTCTTTTTGCCCACCCCTAGGTATAATGCAACTCATGACATCTTGAAAACAAACCTAATTTCAATATATAAGGGATTATCAAAAAAGGTGGAGCAAAGTTGCCAAGGTTTGCTAGATTACAAACACAACAGTTGGTTTTCTAAACATGATTATAATGATTGTTTAGTCATACAAATGTAACCTATTTATCACCTTGACCAAAAGCGGTTACATACTAACAGCCTTAATCTAGTCAAATTGAACACACTTTGTTACTACTTAATAGTCCAATTTCACAATATAATTTCACAATATCTTATTGTAGCATTTGCTCATTAACAAGGAATATTATATAGCAAAACCCCTATCTTTTTCAAAAGTAGAGTGCAATATATAAGCTGCACTATAAGTCCGTTATGAAGTTGCTATGATTTTTTTACCAGACCATCACAAACTAGTAAACTTAATGTATTTTGATGGGAGCCATCAACATTAAGTTTGAAGGAGTCTACAAGTAGAGGGAGTCATATGATATTCACATTTCTCTATTTGGCTTTTATATGATATAATTAAAGAAGGGGACATCATGTTTATTTTCAATGACACTAGTTAGGGATGAAATAAAATGTGTTAAGTTAGAATTTATTGAAAAATTCACTAAAAAATTTTAGATTCAATTTGTGAAACCCGTAAACAAGGACGGAGCCAAGGGGGGACCTACGGGTGCCACGGCCCCCCCAACAATTTTAATTTTTTTTATATACATATATATTACTATATGGCACCCCCTATTTTTAATATAAACTCATATGTATAATTAAATGAATAACCCAAATTTATTTTTTTATTCAACTTTTGGACTTCTGGTACGGCCTGCTATGTGGTATCACTTTGAAATTTTTTTTTTTTTAAAAAAATGTAGCGCCTCATTTGATCATTCCAATTCTCGGCCCCCCAGTATTGAAATCCTGGCTCCGTCCATGCCCGTAAATATAACAAACTTAATCTAAAAAGTCTGTAAGTTAGTCCATTTAACACTAAGATTTAACTATGTTGATTTTAAGACATTAAGACTTTGAAATTTAGTTAGTATAATTGGACTTTTCAATTTTTAAGATATTAAAATTTTGATGTTTTTGTTAGAATATGTAAATATTGATGTATGTTTAGACTTTGAAATTTGAATTTTATTTAAAATGTTTGACGTTGCTTAAAAAATATATATTCCCTTTTTAAAGTATTATTTTTCTTTATCATATTTCAATAGTTTAAAAAAGAAAAGAAAAAATAATTGAAGAATAAGTCCCCCCCATCACATTATTCAACATCTGAAATCTGAACAAGAGTACACATTATTACATATACACGCAAAAGAATAAAATGAATCCCCCCAAAAAAGTTACCGCATTTATACTTTACATGATGATATTGTACAATTGATGATTATTGAGACAACAGCAGGGATATCTGGTAACATATATCAAAAGATAAACTAAATGTAGAAGTAACTAGACGGATCATTTGCATTTGCCGTGTCTCTGCAAAGAATTGATCGAGCTTCAATCACTGAGCGAGGAGGCTCAATGTCCTTCTCTTGCAACGCATTTCCTCGTAATCGTTGCATCTGGGAAGCAAAGGTATCATCCAGTATCTACGAAGTGAAACAGTCAATGTCAACTAACTAACACTATGCATACAATATTGCAATCAACACCATCATAAAAGACTACATAAGTATTGACTTACCCCTACAGCATAGGAAGAGCCATTGTACCATATCCTGTTTTCCTTCCTCCCTTCGAGAAATTTCAGAATAATCTACCACAAAAATAATTAAAATAAATGAGAACCAATAAAATTGAGCCAAAGTCGATCATGTCAACCAACATATGAGTGTTTTAGTTGGTCACCTGTCCCATCCTATCCCATAATCCACGGCATACTGCAATAAATATCTGGCTGGTAAAGACCTCATGTAGGTTGGAGATGAAGTCAATAAGTTGTGAATTCAGTAACTGCATTCTTTCACGGACTTCTGCTTCTCCATCTGTTTCTGTTGTTTCCTCAAGGATCTTTTTCAGCCTAGTGTTCCGATTAGCTTGCATCTGAACAATGCAATTGCATCAAATGTAAATAAATATTAGAGGTTTCCAAACAAAAAACTTTATGGCATCTAATGTTTATTTTACGATAACGCAGAACACTGGAGTCTGAAAATGATCTTACATTGTTGACAAGATTCCCTATTATTGCTTGCAAATAAGTTTTGTATTTGGTTCTCAAGAGGACAGTGATTGCATTCATTTGCTCCCCAAACAATGTTTTCTTGTCTCCCATGACAGGTAGACAGGATGCCCAAGAATTTAGGATGTCTTCCACTCTACAATGCAGGACATCAAGAATCCTCTTGAGGGTGTTCAAGAATATGCCCAACTGTGGATAAAACAAAATTTTATAAAAAAAATATTTCAATATATAAAAACCATCATAGATAAAAACCAAAATCATGCATGTTTTCCAATTGTGCAACGAGAGTTTATGAGCAAGCTCAACAATTTTGAGTATTTAAGCAGAGTTGGATTTTAGGATTTGGAGAAAGCAAACAGAGAACTTACTTGATGAGGAACCGAATGAACAGTAGCTGATTGTCTTCTTGCTATCTTTTGAACTTGCAAGTGAAGTCTCTTTGGTATGCTATCTTTCAAAGGAGTTAAGATATCGCTGTATTGTTTCTCAAGGGATTTCACAATTGCCCTTTCAATGTTTGCAACAGCCTTACATTACAGAAAAGAGTAAAAAATGCAAACTCAAAAGTATTACCACATGTTTTATACGGTGGAGATAAAATTGTTTATAAACTTGAGAGGAGAGAAACACTGCAGAAATATGTTGAATGCTGATTGCTTAATAGAAATATCTCTAGTTTAGAACTTACATTTTCCAAATAAAGTGAGTATTGAGGCCATCTGTTGATTACTACTTCATACTGGGTAAGGTTTTCTTTGATTTTCTCATACATTTCCTCAGCAAATGGGGAGGTCGAGTGGTTTGTGGTAACTCCAGCCCATGGCACCTGTATTATTTGTTTGTATCAGGAAGGTCAACTCATTTATAGACTGAGGTGTTTTGTTGTACACAAAGCAGCTGAAATACTCCTACCTTTTCTGCTTTACATAAATCAAGCAAATTAAGTTGCATATCCTGTATCCACACCATGATATAGTTGTGGAACAAATTTCTGGAGTCTACACCTCCCTGCACAGCACTAAAACATGGAGAGTATTGTGTATCAAAAATGATATTTTAATTTTGGGGAATCTGAAATTTTTTGGTACTGTAAATTTTGCAGTGCCATAGGAGAAGTTGCTCTCACAAACCTTATATTCCATAACTCAAGATCCCGTTCAAAATCTGCAGTTGCAACTAAAAGTTCATTTACATGTGCCTGGGGACTCGATGGTGGCAATGCAGAAAGGAAAGCTCTCAGCCTTTTACACAGCTCTGTGCTGTAAACTGTAGCTGTGATGTTTGTCAGGTCAATTGAACTGAAAATAGGAAAATGGATCTCAGAAAATCTATGATGAACCAAAATTAAAATGTATGGAGAAACAACTTGGGGAATTTGTGTAATGCTATCACTGAAGATATGGGTGTAGAGCTTTATAATGAAAAAAATTGACTGAAAAAATTTCTGTTAAGCCAATTGAAAGTTGCAGAATGTTGAAATTTAATAGAGACCATCTGCATCTCCTATGTAAAGGAATTGAAATGCAATTTGTACGCACTATGCAGTGTTAATGGTAATGTCAACTTGCTAAAGAGAGTGACGCTATAGCCGAATACCTAGGAAATATATGCTGACCATGGACTGTATACTGGTTGTGGATCTTTATATCTGCCTGAATTTCATTTCTTATAGAAACACAAAGGTTCTTCATCTTCAGGTATGCTGTTGAGACGGTAATGGTATCCATTAGGTAACCTTCAGAGGTGCTTGACACGAATTCATCAGTCTCCATCATGTGTTTTCTACACCTTTTTCTTGCAGCAGTCTGCCAATATTAACAATTTCATTTAGACCCCAAAAAAGGAAATCCAATGTGATATATTGTTGCAGTAATGACCAAATAGACATTTTGTGATTATATGATCTTTATATGGTCAAGCTCATAAACTGTGAGAAGGAGAAACTGAAGGCTACACTTTCCAGGAAAACCAAGCTTTACATGCAGCCCTAAATCTATTTCTAGCATCTATGCTTGAAGTTACGTTGAACAATAGCATCACATATCAGAAACAGTGCAAATATAGAATTACCTGAAGATAGTTTCTTAGAATAGTTTGAGCGTCTAGAGATAGAATATCATGAAGACTAGTGTAGACTTGAACAGCAGGATCCAAAGCTGGAGCCGCAGAATCAAATGCTGGACCAAAATGATCGGTTAAACCTGTTGGCGAGTTTTCATCGAGTGATTTGTAATTCTCAAAAACAGTTGCTAGAAGACTTTCAATTTGAGTTTCACAGTCTGAAAGTATACTTCTCTGTGAAAACAAACAAATAGAGAAAATTGTTAAACCACCATCCATTTCCAAAATCTTGAATTACAGAGTTTGGTAAGTTGGAGATAACATTAGGCATGAAAAATGACATATTTCTCAGGGTACTTAGAGATGTAAGACAATACCAGCGTGAAGCGACTGTCATTTTCCGAAGAACTTCTACTCAAGTTTTCTATTCCTATAGTTTTTCTTTTTGGATAAGTACAAAAACTTGCTGAATGTATAACAAGTAATAAGGTGATCTGAACTCTAAACTAATCCCATTGATTAAGCATATTAAAATTACAAGAAGCTGGAACAACATAAGATTAAGTGAACCAATGTACATGATTTGACAAGTTACAGCAATGGGTAAGAGAGCAGCAATATACAACTTACCTCCTGCCTGGTCAGACTCCTCTCACTTCTGGCCTTTATTAGAGGTTCAAGCAACTCTTTCACAAGCTCTAGGCAGTCCTTGGTTGGAGTAGCCACATTCATCACATGCCATAGATATCTAGAAGAATACCGCAAGTAAGTAAGAAAATTGGAGAAATTAAACAAATCATGTAGCATAAAGAATATAAGAAAACTGATTCTTTTTGCCATATTGATAGGGGCACCCCAATCTCACATGACATTGATTCAAATACCTCAGCTTGGCATATGCATTAGAAACTCCATAGTAGTCTGCAAATGCATCTAACAACCATTTCCAAGGCCCATTTAACCGCAAGTTTCTTGAATGGAAATGTTGCGCACGCATGGCACCCTCTAATAGTAAATCATAAGCTTGAGTTTCCACAACAGCCGCACTCTGCAGAAATGTAAAATTCGGGCAAATGAAAACTATTCTTAGAAAAGCATAGCCTGAAATGACCACGACCATATTGGTGTTTAATGGCTTAAACTAAGATAAAATAATAATTAAATCATGATGAACCTTTTCTACGAATAAATAAAAAAAATCCTTTGTCTGGTCAAATTAGAATAGTTTTCTCTTTTAACACCAACAAATGATAATTTGATAAAACATAGTGACTAGGTATGACCCTTTCCGTAGTTATCTCAGAAAGAATCTAGTTCTTAAGAACATTTTTTCTGATACATTCCATTTAAGATGTTTGATAAACAGAGATGTCAACTTGGAAGATGATCCTCTTACATCAACTAGGGAAATCCTATAAGATAAAACAAGAATTATTGAACTAAATTTTGGTGGAGATAGAACCTTAATGTGATTGTTCTCATTGCTTGTCATTGTACTGCCAATAGAGAGCTGGATCTTGCCAACACATTCACGTTCATCGTGATATACTGGCCACCACCGAATTCTGTCACTCTGCACATTCAAGATAATTAATTCATTATGTGAATGTGAATGGTGCAAAGGGGAGACTAAGATCTATGGATGAAGAAAGAGTGAAGCTCATACAGGATTATCACTGAGGGATGAAATTGGAATCCTGGCTTCACCATGGATTGCCTTTTTTGAATCTTGGACTTCTACAATTAATGCATCCCCTTGGCTCAACGGGAAACTGAAATTACATGAAAGTGCAGGATCTTTATGATTAATACATGTATTTCAACAATTGAAGAAATCAAGATAATGTGTGATTCGTAGTTGTCTCAAGAAATCGCCATCTTACACACTAGGCTGTGTGTACTGGCAAAATATTAGAACTTAATGAATAGTGTATGATTTTCAACAGTTAAGATTAGTTCATCTCACATGGTTTTTCATTGATTGTCTACCACTATATCCTACTAAAATGCATTTGGAAAGCCTTCATTGACTTTAATGTTTCACTATTTTCTAGGAGCTAGACAGCAGGTCAATTAGAAGCACTGTTCCCAATTAAACCAAAAATGGAGAAATGAAACTTACAAATCGTGGTAATCTCCACTCCCAGGGCGCAAAGCAATTGCAGAACATGGCTCTGATTCATTTTCTTCCGTCGTACTCTTAAGTTGGATCAAACAATGCAGTGGTTCTACATGAATAACCGGATTGGTGTTTATGAAGAAAACAAATCTATTAGAAGTTCATTTCATTCGGAGGAAGATAAAGTAAGGCTCCTAAATTCTAATCATATGTAATTGTTTCAGTCAAAAACGCATCTGATATCAAGATCAAAAGATATCTTAGCTAAAATGAAAGAGTTGCGGAAACCTTCCATCAGATGAACTAACCTTCTGATGCCAATGAGAATGAAGTCGACTTCATAGAACTTATGCCGGTCTTCACAAGTGATGAAACATGCCGGACATATTCCACCCCAGTTTTCATGTAGATTGATCCTCGCTGTGACTTTGTGATCTTAAGTTTTTGTCTTGGTATAATGCGAAGTTTCTTCACTGCAATTTTCATATAGGAGGTTAGATCTATCGGTATTCAAATAATAAAAATTTGTTGAGATTGTAAGATTACCTTCCACTCTTATTTTCCCTAC